AAAAAAAAAAAAAAAAAGATTGGAGTTAGTTTGTCTGATTGCTGAGAATAAGTATCTCTGGGTAGAGGAAGCAGCTGAAGTTTGGTGAATACTCTTGGATATCGTTTTCCCTGAACCCACGGGTCAGGCCAAAGAGTATCCTCCCGCAAATGGACGTGGGATGAGACTGAGGCTGACCGAGTTTTCACCCTTAAATGTGAAACAGAATTATCCAAAAGAGCTCATACTCTCAAGAAGAATCTTGAGGAATCTTCCTTTTAACCAGATTTTAAAATATTTTATCTTGGTTTATGTCCACAGTTGAGTAGTAGTACATGTCCCTTAATGTGTTCTCCTATGTCAAGGATGATGTTGTGACATTTCATTTGCCCACACACACAGTAGGACCCTAACACACACACACACACACACACACACACACACACACACACACACACACACAGTAGGAACCTGAAAAATATTTGCTAAAAGGTCGCTTCAACAGGTCAGAGTGGCTCTCCACTAATCTGGCCCAGCTTTCCAGCCCAGCCTCATCACTGCCTACCATTCCCAGGCTTCATGAACCAGTTCAGAGTTCGTTCAAAGACCAGCAGAATCACCAATACCTGAGAAATTGTTCAGAGTGCAAACTCTGGAGATCCACCCAGGACCTACTAAATTAGAATCTCTGGGGATGGGACCCTACAATCTGTTTTGACAAGTCCTCCAGGGGATACAATGCAGCTGGACAACCACTGGCAAACAGAATACATGAAGCTTCTTCCCACCTGGGGCCTTAACACAGCCCTTTCTTCTGATTGAACTGATGCCCTCCCCCCACTCTCAATAGGGCAGTTCCCAGTCGTGGTTTAACACTTCCTTCTATTATCACCTCTGGTAGAACATAAGCTGACCACCCTGTCACCCAGGTTCTGAAAGGACATCTCGGTGTCCAAATAACTGTGGTTACTGCTACCGACAACCTTAGCAAACATTCTGACCCACCTGCCTGCCACCCCACCACCCAAGATCTTGAAGTAGAAACTGGCAAGTGATCAGATCAGTCTTTGTTTGCCTAATTAATTAGGATTAAAGAAACCATTGGCTCATTACCTGGAAATAGGATTCATTATTGCTTGGTAGACCGATGCTAAAATTTGAAATTTCATTTGTCCCTGGGGACAGGGACGATACTCCAAGCGCCAAATTCCGAGTTGTAATATTCACACGTGATGTGCTATTTAGGTCTATCTTGAAGGCCAACTCATCAATTGTTTTTAAAGCTCTAAGGAAATGACAACACCACTCTTAAGTAACATGTTTTACAAACTTGTACACATGTGACTTGTAGGACAAAATAGAAACTAAATAAAATTGTCTTTAAATTTTCTGATCCTAACATGAATACTGACACCCCAAATCATAATAACATCAGTTAAAACACAGAATCATAGTGATGAATGCATCCTCAGGAGAAATATTATGCTTTAAGAAATACCAACAATTAAATCATCCTAAAAAGATATTGTTTTTCAACTCTTAGGCTTTTTTTCTCGTATAAAAATACCTTTTCTACTTTATAACTGAGTGAGAATCAAAGAAAATAATGTGTGAAAGCATTTCTTAAACTCTAAGACACTATAAAAAATGTTTGCTATCTTTACATAGATAAGGTAAGTTCGAAAGTACGTTGTAAAAACATAAAATTTTCATTGAAGAAATTTGTTTGAAAGGAAGGAAACAGAAGAAATATTAACGCATTAAATGAAATAAATGGATGAAAACTAGTTGTGTAAAAACAGGTACAGATCACCCTGCCCTTGGCATTTTCATTCCCAAAGTACAACGATCACACAGCTACAGCAATTCTATGTCAGTCTGTAGGACAGAACTGACAGTCACCAAGTTATGCCAAATAGATGTGAGTGGATTGTTCACTAAGTGTCTCCTTTGCAAAGTGACATCAGCTAATATATATAATAGCTTATCTTGTGAATTAATTCCAGTAAACATTCTTTCAGATGAAAAATGAAATATTGATTATGTCTTCCTGCAGCTATTTATATATTTTGGCAGATGGACAATCCTAATCATTTTGTAGATTATATTTCTCAAAAAAGAAAATAGAGAACTTTGAAGTTCACTTTGTGAATTATCTTGAGAAATATAAATGGGTCTTATGGACATTTAAATTATGAAAGCTGAGGGGCATCTAGGTGGCTCAGTCAACTAAGCACCCAACTCTTGATTTCAGCTCAGGCTATGATCTCGTGGGTCCGTGGGTTCGAGCCCCACGTTGGGCTCCACGCTATCAGCACAGAGCCTGCTTGGGATTCTCCCTCCCTCTCTCTCTGCCCCTCTGGCAACTCACGTGCACATGTGTTTTCTCTCTCAAAAGCAAATAAACTTAAAAAATAAATAAATTATGAAAGCTGGGTACCAAGCATTCAGATAAGTGAGAAATTATATAATATGTATCCAATACATTTTACTCTCCAAAAGAATCAAAGAACACTTACTCAGAAGAAGACTCAAGCAAGTCACTGTCTGGACTGGTTAAGATATTAGAAAATATATTCATTAAAGTTGAACCAAGCATTATATCAATGTTTTCTTCTTTATTCACAATCCTTTTGACCTGCTCTACAATGCTGGTAATATTGGCCGAGCTTAGGGTCTGCCCATCACCAGTTAAATTTAAAATCTGGTTGGCTACTTCATTTGCTTCCCCTAAAAAAAAGGCAGAAAAACAACACACAAAGTTTTGAATATTTCAGGAATCCAAAACCTATTACGATATTTCACTTCATAGTCTCAACTTTGGAGGAACCTATTTTCATATACAGTTCTAAGAGAAATGTCCCCAGAATCACAAAAAAATAAGTATATACCTCCTGTTTAAAAATAACACACAACTATAAGACACTGACACAAATATCAGTTTATATTTTATGTCTTCTCTAAAACTGTCTTATTACTTTCAATCTCTGATAGAATAAACAGAACAGAAAGTTAGAATCAGGAAAAAACAGAATTTTCTACCTTAAGTGAAACAATCGTTTGCTTAGCTTTTAATCACAATGGCTATGACAAAGCAGAAAAA